CACACACACACACACACAAACATACACGCACATACGATAGATATTTGATAGGAAAGAAGGTGCTCTGGTGTGGTTTGCTCCTTTTTTCCTATCAAACATCTATCGTCCTTATCTCCCCTCCTTCTTTTTTATGTTTGTTACTCTCTTGTAACACCTCTAATCTTCTGGCGCTCATATGACCTTATGCAGGTGCGAGCGCCGTAAAACCTCTACTAAAACAAAAACACATAGAAATATATGATTTAACTTCGTAATCGGCAATTGAATTGCGTTCTCCGCGTGATTTTTGCTAACTTTGGGTCGCTGATCACGAGAATCTTATTATTTTTTATTTGGACAATATTTAGGAAATGTTTTGAATGCATTTTTAACCCCACCATGAGCAACAACAAAAAGAGCCGATCAGTCCTGTCCTAGTGCGGTATCTGTTTTGACATGCAAAAAAGCGACAGTGGGACAGGACAATCCTGTCCGAGACAACAATGTCGTAGTGCGGTACTAGCCTTACACAGTAACCCTCCCGTCAAGTCGTTCTCGAGTCCCACCATCTGCACCATGATATGCTGGGTGTTTCAATAGTGACTGCGCACTCACAAACGCTGTGACAGAGTCTTTAAGTGCACGGTTGCTCGCGAAACACTCTGTGGTTTGACGCGGACACTGCAGAGAATGGACGACCAACAATGGGCGTGATCTGCCAGCTTACTTCGCTTCATGTCCGATATCGGGAGATGTGACAAAAACGGAAAGACAAACATCTAGTTAACACAAACTCTAAGAGATTGTCGAGTTGCAAGTGGCATCGGACTGTCGTATGGTTTATTATTTTCTTCGTTTCACAAGAAAAAGAGATACACACACACAGAGAGAGAGAGAGAGAGAGAGAGAGAGAGAGAGAGAGAGAGAGAGAGAGAGAGAGAGTGTGTGTTCTTGTGGTTGACTGAGGTAAGCCACCAAATTAGAAAAAAAATCGGTATTTTTATAAGTTTTAAATTTTATTGTTGATTTCACTTTCATATTAGCTTGTATTTCATTTCTCCCAGATAGTTTACTGATTACACCATTGATATTTTACTTTACTTTTACTTTTTCATCCTCTGTTTGCATTTAAGCGTCGAGAGGAGGTGCAGTTTTCTATAGTAGGCCAGCCCCGCAGCTCTTTGAGTTGTGATATTAAGTTTTCTCAGGTTTTCCTTGACGCCCTTGATGGGCCTTCTTCTTCCTTTATAGCCTGCGTGCTTGGTGTTTTTATTCTCTGTCTTTCTATGCAATGCAGGCAGGACTCAATGCCGTTAGCTGCTCTAACTTCTCAATTTCTCTGCCTGTCTCGTCTTGAGATGTTAAGGGTTTTGAGGAGACATTTCATTTCGCATGTGGGTAT